AACTCTCATGTAAGCTGCATGAACACATTTCAGGCAGCTGTACTCATGCAGCCATGCTCATAAAATGCTGTGGAGTATTTTCTGCAAACAGGATGTGGATCTCCAAGTCCAGGCAACACCTAAGTACCAGCTAACAGCAGCCTCTAGCAACAGCCTTGACTGCTGAGGAAAACAATGCTTGGGATCACCTTGCAATAGGTTAGAGTGTTTTGTCAGTGAGTCAGAACTCCACTGACAGCTCCTCAGACTCAAATGCTAAAGGTCTACCTCTCTGTGGCAAGGGCTGTGCACTGGGTTGTCTGTGGTGACTGTCTACAGTCCATCAGATTCAGGGCTACAAATTTATTTTGCAATGACTTAGGAATACTGATACAAATGTTTTGTCATTGTTCACTGGAATTTTAGGAGAGAAGATTTTTTAAATTATTGTTTCAACAACCCAAAGAGTAAGTGAGTGTTCAGATTTCTTTGCAGTAGAAGTGGAAATACATATTTCCAGCAGATGAAACTACACTGTTGAGCTTCATATTTTAAATAAAGCACAGGCAGCATCAGTCAAAAACCCTCTGATATCTTTATTCCTGAATGTCATTGGGCAATAAAATCTTGCATTTCTGAAATGATTGATTTCAGTTCAAATTATCTAATACCATCCATTTGGTGTCGAGGTAACCTGCAAGTAATTCTGTCCTTGTTTACACAGTTTTTGTCACTCAGATGACCTGAGCAGAGAACACAGAGAATAGATACACAAGATCTGAACTTAGACTTTTTTTTTTTTTTTTTTTTTTGCCATCTGAGTGGTTTCTTTTCCTTCAGTTCTGGAACACTTTGAAAGAATTTTGGATTAATTTTGAAGTATCTGCTAGATGGGAAGTGCCATATTTGTGTCTGAGCTGCATGAAGGAAGAAAGCATTTTACTCTGTACAGCCTTGCTTCTGACAAACAACACCATAGCTCTGCTGAAAGAAATTTTTGGGTCTTCACATTAGGTGTCGTCATCTTATGAATTGTATCTTTTTGCTATGCAGTCTGTACAGGGTTTCAGGCTTCAGTGCCTCCACATAACAACTTAGAAGTACAGATTTGAAAGAAAATTTCTGCTGTCACATATTCAGCATCTTTCTATAAACTCACTGTTTGTTCGGGAGGAATTTTTATATAATTCACTAATTTTGATTTACATTATAATTCATACAAAGATGTAGTCAAGAAAAGTAATGGAACTAACTAAAAAGTGACCTTCCCTAACTTAGCTTTAAGGATAGCTTTTTAAACATGGAGCTACCTTCTGTTTAGATATCAGAAATTTTTCCAAACTTACAGTATAAGAAAAAGCAAAGCTTCTTCCCACCTTAAATCTGCCCCTGGATATTACAAAACTTTTGTTGGCAATACTCTTCAAATGAGCCCAGTTTGCTGTTTTACAGAGATAAAAGTAATCACCAGATTTGAGCCCTTGCTCATCTGACTGGCCTCAAGCTTTCTCGCGGGGACTGTGGAGCAGGGCATGTCACAAAGAGCATGTTTTTACAGGCCAGGAACAATGAGGAGACGCCAGGGCCAAGGCTGGACAGGTGCTGGAGGCAGCTCAGCATCACTCGTGCGAGGTGGTGCACAGTGCAGAATAACTGTTGTACCTGTCCACTCCTGCTTATAGAGACTATGACAGCCATTCAGGGATTCTTGAGTACAATAAAGAAATAAAAATTTACTTGGAAGTAAATTTTGTAGATACATCTAAGCCTTAAAGTTTTGTGGCCCAAGACAAGGCTAATTTCAAGTGCTAGAAGTTCTAATTTACTAGTCTAAAATTATATTATGGAATCCCACTGTGTACTTCGAGCAATACAATTAGAATATGCGTCATTTCTTAAGGTACTAAATTTAAGCTTTAAAGAAATATGCCAATATAGATGCTGGTGTGAAATCTCTCTTTTCTCTCCCCCTCAAGTTTTTCCTTACAAGAAGTTTATATTTGGCTAATATTGCATGTAACTTTCTTTCTCTCTCTTGCAATTTATGCAGGAGTTACATTTTACTGCTGCAATGGACTAATAATCAGAGAACATACTCTTTCTATTAAATATTATGTAACTTTTTTGTTAGTGACTCTGTGTCCACAAAGTGAGCTGATCTTAAATAGAGTAAGTTTCTATAGTAACTTTCTAGCTCATTTTCCCAGATATTCAAACTACATTTTTGAGCTTTTATGCCTGACCTTTGTTTTTGAGGCTGGTGGCTGCAGCATTTTAATGTTCTGTTATAATTTTTCTTTACTCAGCATGTCTTACCCTTCAACACTTCCTGATACTCCACATGTGGCTGAGCAAGAGAACGTTCAGCCCTTTTCTTCCCCTCATGCAATTTGACAATCTAATAATTAACTAATCTTAGTTTCTCTGATTAAAGGAGTACTACAGGGTTTCGTGTATGTGAAAGTATCACGACAGAAAGCATTTGTCAAGTAATCATTATCTAATTCCTCAGTGTTGACTAAGTAAAATATTTACTAACACATTTTCAGCTAGCTACCAAAACACATTGGGTTAATGGAAAAATCTTTAAAAGAGGTTCATATATGAAACCAAATCAAGAGTGTTAAGTGTTATACCATATGCAAAAGGCTTACTCCGAAATATATGTATACCAATCTATAGATCATTTAGTTAATGGGCCTTGTGAAAAGCCATAAATGATTCCAAACACAGAAAATAAAATAGAGAGACTGTTAAGTAATGAGAGTCCTTGGAACATCTCCTGCAGATCTCTCCTCAGATCCTTTGTGATGACTGTTGGCATTATGCAATGGTAGAAAAATTGGAGGTTACGAAGATGAAGGATCTGCTTCTAGCTGATTTAGACAGAAAGGTTAATACATCAGCAGTAATTAGTGCTTCCCTCATCTTGATCCTGCCAGTGTTACTAGTCACCCACATCCCCACATTCCATGTTCCAGCTTGTATGGGAGAGGAGAGGAATGGGATGGGTACACAAGAGTGCAAAGGCCTTATTAAATTGGGGAATGAATGTTGTGTATGGGGTGACATTTCTGTTTTCCCAACTCCCTGTCCCTCAGTGCACTGCTGGGGCTTTCAAACAATCCTATGTGATATTTGAAGAGAGGACAAAAGCTCTGCAAAAATCAAGCCTCGACAGCCATGGGCTAGATTTTGTAAACATGGACATTGCTTCTCTGCACAGTTAGAATTTATATGCAGCTTTTAAGGAAATGGTACCTATTATGAAAGCAAAATAAATATTTATTATGTGACAGTCTCCTTGATCGTACACTACAAACTAGACTTTTCAACAATGTGGGCTGTCTTTGGTTGTTTTTTTGGTACTAAAACAATAGATTCTTAATAATGAAATACTTTAGAAGGATGGAAATATTTACAGGAATTTGTGTTTTGCATATTCAGTTACATCCCTTGGTGCTTATCTTTTGTATTAGTTGTTTTCCTTTAGAGAACTAAAAAAATCAAAGAGTTAAAGAATTGGTTTTTTGAGACAGGAAGAGCAATAGCAGGCTACTGCATGGCAGAACTACATATCTTTCCTGTTAAATATTTACAAAGTAAGATCCAGTGTGATTTATTCAAGAAAGATATGTAGTGGAATATGTTTAAGTTTTTTCCATTAGAAAAAAAGGATAGCATGGAATTTAAAAGAACTAATTTAGACGAGTACCTACTTTAGGAAAAGAAATTAAACAGTGGTTCTAAAAAAATAAAATTATTTCCCTTGCCATGATATCAAGAAAAATAAAAGAACAGTAACCAAGAATCTCCAGAGTTAAGAGGTCCTTTCTGATCAATTCAAACCTGAATGTTTCAGAGGGCAAAGTTTCTGTCAACACTTTTCCAAAGTTCTAGCAGATATCAGTGTGCAACGATACAATATTATGGTATAAAACCAGCAGCCTTTTAAAGCTGGAAACACAAGTCTGGATTTAGAAGTTCTTTTTTATTTGTATATTTCTAACTCTATATGGAAAGAACTTTCTGTTTCCAGAAGTTTATGGTAATATTACATAGTCAGATCCATAGACTATATCTTGTTTTTAGCTACTCTTTTACCTGAAAAACAAATTCAAAACCAGATTCATTTTCTTAAATGTAAACATCTGACCAGAATTACTTTTATTTTAGTTTTGTTTTCACATATCCTTTCCATTTAACCTTATCCGGTATAATTATTTGAATCTGATTATAACACAATGCAATATGCTAACATTTTAATTTGCTGTTTTAATACACTCTTTTGGAAAATAATATAGTAGAAACACTTCCTTCTTTGTTCCATTTATACTTTCTGGTACACTTACCACTGATGAAAATTTGTTTCAGGAAAAAAAACAACACCCACACCAAGTAGAATGTGGAACACTTCTATCATGCATGTACATATAGGTGTTTTAAATTAGGTTAAAAGGATCACTGAATATCACTTTCTAATATGTGTAAAATCAGAATTTATCAAGAATAAACATTTTAAGCACTGATTTACAGTGTCTTCCATAGTTCATATAAGGTTAAAGTGAGCACATCCTACTGTCTGAAGTGAATGTATAAGAAAGATTAGGAAAAGTAAGTGCTACTAACCTTGGTGTACTTAATTTTCAGGTCTTTCAATGGCTCTGGCAGCGCTGGCATAACTGGAGCAGGATTGCCATCTGAGCCTTGTTTCTTCATGATTGCAGTTGAGAAGTTTGAGGATGTTCCTGAAACACAGGTGAAATAAGGTATAAAGGGAATACAGTGATTTTTGCCCTGACTGAGCTCTTGGCTTTATTTGTGCTTTTTATCTGAACCAGCCATGGTATATTTGCATACAGGAATATGATTGGATGAAAGAATTCATCGCAAAGAGAAAATGACACTACTTATTTTTATGACCAGAAGCAACAGCCTTTTCAGTGTGCTGAGACCTCAATGAAGCACATGCTGCTGAAACAATCTGCCCAGGCAGACACCACGAATTCCTGAGAACAGAGCTTAAGACCTCCTCATCTTACCTGTAAAATTACTTTCTCTCAGCAGGCAGGTATCCAGATTCTAAGGAACTCCTTCACGTACTTGAAGGCAGGTCTGAAGGTAAAGACAGACTTGCTATCTCTGAAAACAAACCAAGCCCTTCTTACTAGAAGGTTTATGAGAATAATTACCAGAGCTAGAAAGCATTTATTAAAAACAAGCTACCTTAAGTTACATTTTAATATGTACATTAATTACAAATGTACAAAACATTTGTAATTAATTACAAATGTACAAAACATTAATTACATTACTTCTAATGTACATTAGAAGTACATTAGAAGTAATGTAATTAATGTTTGTTTTGTAGATCACAGAGATAAGAAAAGACTAGGGTGATAGAAAATCTTTCATGTGTTTTTCAAAAATGTGAAGGTGGAAAAAATAATCAATCCAGGAAAAAATTCTCCCTGAGCTGAACTGAACAAAAACTTGTTGATTTTTTCTTCGAGGCAACACCAAAAATTTAAGGACAAAGTTTTTCATAGAGTGCCCTTGGGAATATCTGAGTCCAAAACAAATTGTTCAATAAACTAGGCTTTTCTACCCTGGATGGAACCCACTTTTCTGTTCTGATTATTCAAAGAAAAATATATATCTTGCACAGGCAAATCATTTTATAAGGTACAAGAAACTCCTTTTTTCATCAAGTCCTGCCTTTTCTGATTAGTGGTCTCACAGAACCTGTTTTTACAAGCTAGGCTTCTGATTAATGCACAATGGATTAATGCACATAGAAATAGAATTAAATTATATTATTGTTTTCATCAACAGAGAGTTGGAGAATTCACAGCTCACAGTTATTTCATGTAGTTCATTTTTTGAGCAGCATTTTAAGATTTTAACATTTTGGGTTACAGTTCTTGCTTGCCTTAGAGAATGTCTTTGAGTCTCATGTCTCATGCAGAAAAAAGAGTGTCTAAATAGGGTTTGTTTATTTTTATTTGGAATATGACTTTTCAATCCTATTCTTTTGTAGAATTTTTTTTCCAGACTTACACACTAAAATCTACTCTATCAGTCTTCTAGCCACTAACTTCTCTATTAACCACAAAGAGTTTGTCTCTAGTTAATACTTCTGCTAATTGCTCAGATTTGCCCAACTGGCGATGCAAAACAGAGATCAGTGGATTTCTCTGGTTTCAGGTAAAGCAAAGGTGTCTCCCACAGATGAGAGTGTTTTTAATGCATTTTCATTTAGGTACTATTTTATTCCAAATTAAAAAAAGAAAATGTTTAAACTAGAAGTTAACTATTATAACTCCTTATGAAAATGATAATATATATCTTCTTTCCATATCTATAAAGGACAGCCTGGAATCTCTCTAGAGAGGTTTTAAAGATGCTGGATGAAAAGTTTCAATTTTTCCCTAGAAAAGGCAAGTAATCACTGCTTTGTTTTCCACAACATGTATTCATTTAAGACATACTTTAACCCTAAGACACACTCTAACCCTAATCCTAACCCTAACCCTAACCCTTTTCTCTTTTTTTCCCCTTTTTCACCCTTGGATTTAATGAATCACCTTCACTTTCCTGTTTATTTTCAGTCTAGGAATGCTTTTAGCCTAGTGCAGAAAGTATTTTATTTTCCTCATGTACCATCCTCCAGTTTATTCTAGCTTTCTGCTATTTTCCTTCTAGGACTCTTACCCCATCCTGAGTCACAATTCTTCCACATTTCACCTAAATAATGATATGCAATTCAAGATTTATAACTATTTATAGAACTGTACTACTATTTCAAGTAGTGATTTATACAACAATTGGATAATACAGCTATTGAAGCTTACATAGTTTTGTTGTTAATGTTTTCTTGGAAATGTTATATTCTACCTAATTCTTTCCTTTCTTTGGTCAATAATTTGCTTGTTACTTGTTATGTTTTCACTGCCAAAGGAAGGATCCCTAGAGACTCCACACCCTGGCAAAGTATGTGATGTATTCTCTGATTTTGTGATGGCGCCTTCTATATTCCAAAGCATAATATTTAATCCAGTTAAAAACTACTTACTTCCCTGTTTAATACAGCCTGTTCAGAGAGGAACAAGAGTAGAGGTCCACCGTGCAAGCTGTGATTAAGCTGTGATATGCCTTGGTGATTGACATTGGCTGTGGTAAAATGTGACACCAATGGCTGCATGAACTTTAGGTCTGACATGAGTCACTCTGCGTCGGTAAGTTAAGTAAAAGTTTTATGCTAGAAAAAAGCTGTAAATAGTTTTTCTATGTGTCTCTTGTCAAAGACTGGACAAAAAAAATTAATAACAAAACACAGCATACCAAATTACAAGTTCTCCTAATATGAGACCATACAATGGGACATCAACAATGTTGTAACATTTTCCCTGAGTTCATTGTAGTCTAGGTGTGCAAACTATTGGGCCTATATTGAAGCCATATTCATTATGTAAGATTGTATTTAATAACCAGAACTGCATAGATGAAGACAGAGCTTCTAGCTGGGTTAGCTGGAAATCCAACTAATGAAACCAGTGTGTCACAAGAACAAGCCAGAGGTGACCTGTGACTGGATTCTTGTCCCTAAACACAATGCTAGGTCCATCTGTAATGCCCTGGCCTTTCCTACGTGCCCTGAGATATCGGTCCAGGAGCAAGTTTTGATTTTACTTGGCATTTTTATGTCAGTGTATGCTGAACTAATACTGTTTGAAAGCCATGATTTTCTAACATTTCATAGAGAAGTATTTACCTTATTTTGTAGAAGAAGATTATTCTGGGAATTTCGTTTACCCAGAAATTACTTTGATTTTTCTTAAGGCCATGGCCATAAACTCTTGAAATTTTACACCCCATAAGTAGGCAGAATCTTGTATATTTTCTAATCAGTCTTTGTTTTCCCTTTTTTCTCCTTTTCCTCTATTCTTTTTTTTTTTTTTTAATGACTGCCATGTTGTCTTCCAAGTTCCCACAGTTCAGGTGCCTCCATTCTCCAGCAATAGCAGACAATTGACTAAATCTTTGCATAAAGCTGAAATTGTAATCAGAGCAGTAAGAAAATCTGGTCCATAGGTTTCTATAGGAAAAAAACCCTTGTCCTTCATATATTTGATCATTAAAGAAATCTAATTCTTATTTTGTTCTAGATGCATAGATCAGTTAAAATTGTATGTATTTATCTTTAACCACCTCTGAGTCAGAGGACATTAGAGTGCAAGGACTTTATTGTGAGTAAACAGAGATACATGTTCTCTGTCTTTGGGTTTTGTCGCTTACAACTCTGGAAACTTTTCAAACTAAATATCTCTCTCATCCAATGACCAATCAGAATTATAACCTGAATTACACAACGCCTTTTAAAAGGGAACATAAAAATCTAAGTAACCTCTACAAAGTTGCTGTACTTTAAAACACTGGAGATAAATAATCTTCCATGGTGACTTATACAGTACTGTCCAAAGTTCTCTGGGCTAGGGGTTGCACAGGATGTGCTGCTGAGCTCAGTAATTGTATTGCATCATCTGTGCTGAATTCAGACTGTCTTGAATGCTGAAGTACATGCCTAGGCTTTATAAAACCTCACAGTTTAAAAAAAAAGAAAAATATCTTTTGAGACAGTATCACTGTTATTAAAAATCTTGATTACCTGAAACATTTCTTCCAAATTCAGGATATACGGGGAGTTCAGAAAGGGAATTTATTCAGGGATTTGAACAGATCCCTCATTGATACTGACATAAATTGAGCATTAAGTTAGAAGTGGAAGATTTAGGGATCAAAAGCACCAATATGTGTTTTGAAAGTGGAAGTCTCTGAGATTTGCCAAATCACTGGATTCTTGTTCTGAAATAATCTATGCTCTGGCAATCTTCCTTATGGCATTGCATTAATGGCAGTAGAACAGAAACAGTGGCCGCTGTTTAGTGTGATGGGGAAAGGCAGACACATCAGAAATGAGGCAGAACTGGTGTGATTTCATGCTTTTTTTGCCCATCCAAATCAAGAGTCCAAATCTTGGTAGAATGTGCAAGTCCTCCTAGCTCTAATTGCAAAGTACTGAAGTAAAAATGACAAGATTTTCAACGCTATGGAGCAAATTCCTTTGCTTTTTTGCAGGACACTGACTATCCTGCATTTCTGAAAATCCAAGTGTTCCTTTAATGTAATTACCAGTATCTCTGAGCAAAATTAACATTTCTTCAGTTTCTCAGTAATTATAAAATTTCTGTAATATTTATACTCATGGAATGAGACAGTAGACACATGGATAACTATCTATTTGAGTTTGAAATCTGTTAATGAAAAATCTTTCCCTTTGCAACATGGGCAATAACAGTGTACAAAGATATGTCTTGGAATATATTTCTCCAATCTCTAAATTCTTGTGGTAAGTGACAGGATTTAAGGAAATAACATGAAGCTGAGCCAGGGGAATTTTAGGTTGGGTAGCAGAAAAAGGTTTATCACCCAGAGGATGATTAGGCACTGGAACAGGATTCCCGGGGAAGTGTTCTTAGCACCAAGTCTTCCTGAGTTCAAGAACCATTTGGAACACATTCTTAGGTTCATGGTGTTGCTCTTGGGGTGTTTTGTGCAGAGCCAGGAGCTGAATTCAATGATCATTGATTCCAGCCCCATGGAATCTCTTCTGTGCTTCTGTGACTTCCATCTCACAATGACATTTCAACAGTACAAGAATAAATTGTGACAGTGGGTGGGTTTAGGCTGCTGCATTTCATCTTGAAAGTTGGGGGGAAGGGATTCCGTCCAGAGAGACTTGAACCATCCAGAGAGGCTTGAGAGGTGGGCCTGTGAGAGCCTCATAAACAGCAGTCCTGCATCTGAGTTAGGGCAAACCGAAAGACAAAAACTGTTTTGGCAAAGAATAGATTGGGAGCAGCCCTAAGGAGAAGGATTTGGGGGTGTTGGTGGGTGAGAATATCAGCAATATTTTGACAATTTGCACTGGCAACCCAGAAGGTTAACTGCATCCTGAGCTGCACAAATAGAAATGAGGCCATCAGGTCAAGGGAGGTATTTCTCTCCTCTACTCTGCACTAATGACACCTCATCTGCATTGCGGCATCCAGCTCCGGTGTTCCCAGCATAAGAAGGATGTGGACCTGTTGGAACAAGTCCATGGAGATGCTCAGAGGGCTGGAGCACCCCTGCAGAGAAACATGCTGAGAGGGTTGGGCTGTTCAGTTTGAGAAAAAAGGCTCAGGGGAGATTTCACGGCAGCCATTGGTAAAGGCAGCCTGGCACAAGGAAGCTGGAGACATGAAGTTTCATGAGGATGTGTAGTGACAAGAGGTTCATGGCTCTAACTGAAAAAGGGCAGGTTTTTAAAGAAAAAATTCTTTACTGTGAGGGTGGTGAGGTGCTGCCATGGATTGCACACAGAAGCTGTGGATGCCCCATTTCTGGAAGTGTTCACGGCCAGGCTGGATGAGGCTCTGAGAAACCTGGTCTAGGGGGAAGTGTCCCTGCCCATGCCACGGGGGTTGGAATCAGATGATACTTGATGTCCCTTCCAATCCAAATCATTCTATCATTCTGTTACGTCAAATACATTTTTAGAATTATTTCTCTTTCTGCTAGTTGGATATCTGCTCATTGTAGTCTGCATTTTTTGGTAGCATTACTCATAATGTATATTGATTTTTGGAAACAGATGTTTTATTTTTGTATACAGTGAAATTTACACACAAAATAATGACTAAGACGTGATCATAAAAACATAAAACTAAAATAAAAGGAACTGTATATATTATGGGACACAGAGAGCGAGTAGTGATGCAAGAATTGTTACACCATTTACAAAAACATTTATCTGTAGAACCCATTTCAGTTACAGGAAGTAATAGTCTTCATAATATAAATTAAAATATTATCTATTCCAGCATTTCTTAAAAGTTGCAGGAATATTTGGTAGAACATAGTATATTTCACTTCCTTAAAGTGAAATGCCTTGCAACTGGTTTTTTTTTGGTTTTTATTTACAGTTTATGATAAAAAAACTCATACAAAAGTAAAAGGTACTTTTACTTTTCTATGAGTTTCTGTGGAGAAGGCAATCAAGCAGAATTAAATGAAAAGAACTGAGTATAGTCTGATGCAACAAAAGTGTATCAATTTCTAGAGAAAGAAGAAAATTCTCACAAAACTGGCATAAGACCTATAGAAAACCATAACCAGCTTGTAAAGGTTTGCCTTTTCATTCACCCTAAAATATGGTATATAAGCAACACTACTTTACTCATATCAAAAGAATTTTCCATACTCACCTAATTCTTACTTATTCAATCCTGAGACCTTTTGCCATTAAAGTCATAGAAAGAGTCAATTAATAGGTTATCATATGACAAAAGTATGTTTCTTTCAATCAGGCTAAATGAGTTTTCACGTCAACAGGACAATTTTAATTTATACATGTCAATTTGTTTTCTAACTTCATGTCCTTTCTGCAATACTGGATGGAATATCTAGTGTAAGAAAATGAGAACTCTAAACAGAACAGTATTATCAGAACAATGCATTAGTTAATAAATGAGCACAGTTTTATTGTAGACTATAAGTCCAGTCTTGGCAGCATAGAATGACTTCTATTTAGAATATCTTTTTGTGAACCAGAGCACATTTATTCCTGTTTTTCCTATTAAAAATTAAACTATTTTTTTTAAACTTTTTTTGGTACACAGTTCAAATGAGGGAGCAAGTAATAAGTGATGCAATAATTTGAAGGTTTCTCAAACAATTGATTACAAATAAAGAGAAGGATTTTACGCCACGGGTCACAATAAAAGCTCTTATCGGTGAACTTCATGAATAATTTGATGCAAATCAGTTGAAAAAAACTGGTCAGGGTTAGATCAGAATCAGACCCAACACTAGTTATTAACCTACATTGTTAGGAACAATTACTGCCAAGTAATTTTCAGCATTTCCTCCATGAACCTTTGTTTCAAAGCCAAGTTTTAGACAGCTTCAACTGATTTTACATAATTGCTATGTGTGCTTTTTAAGCCTCTGTATAGTAATTGTGTTCTTCAGCTATGAAAGACTCACAAGTGAAAACAACCCTCTTTCCTTCTAATTTTAATGTTCTGAAGAGAATCTAAAAGAAGCAGCTGTACAGCTAAAATTAAAAATAGTCAGAGGTGTATTTAATATCCACCTCCTTCTTTGATATTTAGAAACAATTTTCTGAATGAATATTCCCTTATTTCTTTACATCAGTTTTTATTATATTCACGTTACTATCTTAAATTAATTATCAGCATCATCATTACTACAGTACTTTTGAAAGACTCATTTTTGTGTGTTTTGGTATAGGATGTATTAGGGTTTGAGCTCTCTGCAGTGAAAAAAATCCAAATATTTTTACTCAAGATGAGTTCCTTTTTCCGTACATCATGGTAGTTAACTGCTAGAATAGAATTTGAAACTTGCAATTAATAGAAGGCAACAAGAGAATGTCTGCTGAAATTGCAACTGAACTGATGTAAAACTAATAAGAAGTCCATGATTATTCATTTTGGTCATCCTGTCCTACCACTCCCCACTCTAACTTGCTATTTATCATTTATACGGGTATTTCCAGGAAGTTCCTACAGAGCTGGCTAGAAACCATGCATCAGATAAATAATCTTGAGGTAAAAATTCTGCTTTATAACACTCAAAATGTAATTGGAACTGCTAAGAAGGAACCATATTTGCAGTACAAAGCGACTTATTAGGAATAAAAAGCTTGGCACAGTGACTAATCACGCAGCATTTCCAAATTGACTGTGACACTCAAGTATTTTCCTTGTATTGTAATGTCAGTGGAGGATTTTGATGGATTTCCAACTCCTCTGTTTCCCAACTTTTTAGTTTAACTTAAACAAACAAACAAATATTATGAAGCAACACCAGCCTTTGTTTGCAAATTTCAGGGACGTTTCTGTGGATGCCATCAGAGATTGCTGCTTCTAGTGAAAAGTGAACTTTAACCTGGTTGTAAATCTGTGCATCTCTGGTCTGGGGAGCTAAGGATTCAAAATCCAATACAGAATAAAACTTTTGCAGCACATTATGAAGAGTCTCTGTTTTCCAGATGATCGAGTCTAGTCTCCTTTTAAGAGAATTAGCAAGATTTTTATTATCTCCTGTTCTGTAGTTAAAGCCTTAATTTCTAGTTTAGATGTAGTGAGTTGGCTACGTTACCTTGTAATTTGTTATTCCCATTTCTTTCTACTTTGCCATGATTACAGAATCACAGAATCAGCTATTTTGCAAGAGGTTTTTGGGGTGGTCACGCCCGACCTGTGACCCAGCACCACCTTGTCAACTAGACCACAGTTAAACACCCCCAGGGACAGAGATGCCACCACCTCCCTGGGCAGACCATTTCAATGCCCAATTGTCCTTCCTCTGAAGAACTTCCTAATGTCCAAATGCTTATAATCATATTCTCACGTGTTTGTTGGTAGAAATATTGTAGAATATTGTGTGTATGCTACTCATTAGCATCACTGGTGAATGAGAATTAACAGCTAAAGCAGTTGACTAGGATTGTTGAAGAGATGATGTGATCAGTCCAGCATCCACTGAATCCTGTCAAGAGCTTTCCTATTGTCTTGCAATTCTTCTGAAGGAGCAGTTTTAAGTCCTGGTAATCATCTAATTAGATAATTGTTTTTAAAAAGGAATATGAGTTGTGAGAAATTTGAAGCGTACTAGTAGTTTCTATAAGATGCCTTGAATGCATTTCAGGATAGAAAATAGGTGATAACAATGTACTACAGGAAATCAGGTTAAAACATACTTTTGGAACCAATCTTTTAGCTTTTCTACAGAAATGTGTTAGCCAGCAGAATTACAAATGCAAATGCAGCAACAGTAAATCTTGGAAGGAACCAAACTTATCATGAACCCATACCTCTGTATGTTGTGTGTGACATTATCCACTTTTCATCTGAAATTAGAAATACGTTTTGTGGATGTGCCCCCTGTGTGTGTATTTGTTTTTTACTGCAGATAGATAGAACAAGATTCACTTTTTGGGACTGATTCAATGAATACATTTCACTTCTCTTCTAAGAAGAAAATTAGAAAAAGAAGGGAAATTCCTTCTCAAAGGAGTAAGAATGCTTGAAATGGGAACATTTGTTGTCCAATAATATGCTTCAGTATTTAAATAACTTCTTGTAATTCTAAGGAATAAAAATGCTTGCAAATATTTTGTGATTGTTACAGAATTTATAAGAAAACAAGAGTAATATTTGGGTTTTTTTTGGTCCAAGAATTGTGGCATGTTTTATGCTTCTCTTTCCATAAACACATGAAACCCTACAGTCTCAGAATGCTTTTCCAGTTTGAAAAGGAAGAGGTTAATGCTCTGATCATCCATGGATGCAGCCTTGAGAATGGCTGATTGAGAATGTAAGTAAACTTCTTTTTCAGATGATTTTTTGTAATGCCACCTGCTGCCAGAGTGTCCCTAGAAAAAACTCAGGTTCAGACCTTTAAAGTAAATCTCTAAGGGGTTCAATATATATTTTAAAAATTAAGTTAAAATTATTTCTATTTTAATTTAACTGTACAAATTACAAGGCAGTGGAAAAATTTAAAACCTCCTTGTTTCTTTTCATTTGTGTAAGAAAAACTATGAGAAGTGTGAACATCAAGGTTTCTTATTCCTGAGATAAATAATTATGTCGATAAAATTTTAGTGCATTTTTCAATATGTTGCTGAAGCCTGCCAAATACATATTCTCTGGCATATTGCTTTGGTAATGAGAATTCTAGGGTTTATGCACAATCATTATACTAAGTACTGAAAAAGTTCTTTGAATTATGCATTTCCTGGATGATAGTTGTATTCTGGGGTTATAATGATAGCAATAAACTGAAATTTACTTGGATGATCAGAACATCATGCTGGGAGAAAGCAGAGGCAAAAATAAATCAAGGCCAGGAGACAGTGGTCAAAAACAGTTACTATATATTCCTTACAAGTTTTTAATGAAAAACAAGCAGCATATAGCTGAAGTTATAAATCTGGCTTGAAAAATTAAACTATTGCTTGCCTTTCTTTTTTTCTTATCTTGCCAGACTCCACTGACACAGAAGTTTTGCAGACACTGGAAGACAGTATTTAATCTTTCATAACCAATATAAATTCATTATTGTTTTGCTCTGGATTAACTTGTTTGTTACTCCTTTTTCCTTGCCAAGAAAGGTTTAAAATTTCATCTCAAAACTAAGTAAAATTCTGATGTTTTCTAGAAACGTCCCCTGAAATTTTGTATTAATTTGGCATAAGCAAGTAGGAAAACTTTTACTTAAACAGAAGGCAAAAACAAGTGAGATTGCAGGGAGAAGCAGCAGAGGAAAAAGAGATTGCCAAACTACATACAAGCTAAAGCTTAGAACACTAATCAAAAAGAAGTTTTGATGCAACAAAGATTTAGCTACTGTGGGCTCACATACTAATTAGAATAAGAGAGAATTGGATATATTGATCTACTTAAACAACCTGAGTTAATGTAATCAAACTTATTAGGAAAGATCTCAGTAAGAAACTTATGTTCTGTAGTTTGCACTCTGAATATTTTCCCATTCCAGATAATGATGGCTAAATCCATATTTTGCCACCTTAGAGTGCACAAGCACACAATTTACGTTTCCTTGCAGTGGATAAACATCCACACCTCTGTGATGTGCCTTTTGAAGAGAAATGTCCCCAAAGCAATTGTCCAAGTTTTCAGCTGCTGGAAGCTGGAGCTCGAGCTGCAGTTCCCCTTTTCCGGGCAGAAACCAGTTTTTTTTTCCTGGGCAGAACAACTTTTCTTCCACTGTGCTCTAGTCAATTAATCACAGTAGTTGGGGGCATAGAAGGGCACTCAGTCTCTCTTCTAACACTGAAACTTCTCACTTTTTTATTCACCATTCCTTGATAAACCTGCTTTCCCTGTGTCTTGTTTTAAATTACTGCAGTACACTAAAAGTGTAAGTGGTTAAGCTGACAATTACACACTAGGTACACTAGAATATGTTCTAATTTGTTTTTCTCTTGCAGGTAACTGCAGTACCAGTTTGGAGTCTACTGTCTATGAATCCTAACACCTTCTTGTCTGTTTTTCACAAGATTAACTTTCTGTTTTTATTCTTTCATCACTAGCAACTCTTTCAGCAAAATCCACATAGCTGATTTATTGTGAGAAATCAAATTAAAAAAAAAAAATTAAATACGTACTTGCAATAATTAGGTAGTACCAGTGTAACAGCTGTCTAATATTTTCCAAGATTGCAAGTTCTTAGAAACTCAAACTTCTCTATACACTTCCTTTCAAAGTGCCCTTCATTGCCAAGGACACTTAATGATGGAAAATAATAGTGTCATATCTCTGTGAAAAGAGAAGAAAATTTCTACTCGGTAGTTTTTCTGAAAACACTACTCAGGAGTGTTCTGAGAAAAACTACAGAATAGCTGTTCACTGAGGAGAAATTACATGAGATTCAAGTGCTGTAATTTGCAATGAAAAGCAAGAAAAATTTCAAAATTAGAGCATGTTTATCTAGCTAGAAAAGTCATGTAAGTTCACATAAAGTCAAAGAGTGCTGTTAAATTGTCACAGGATGGAAGTAAATTTATTGATACTTTTAAGTACTCACAGTTCAGGAATGTTCAGTGCTCAAGGAATTGCATTTCAGTTCACCTAATACAATCACAACTATTTAATCATAGACAGCAGGTTTTGGATGGAAAGACAATCAGTTTAAAATGTTCTGAAAGACAAAGTGGAAAAGTTGCTTTGACAATATTTTTCTCATAATTTATTTTCCCATTTCTTCTCTTTGTGATAGCATGTAAAGCAAACTAAAATGAACATTTTATTCCATTGAACTTAAAAAAGTCTTATAAAGTCTTGTCTTGTTTTAGTTTAGCTATAGTTTTACAATAAAGCATTTGAAAACAAGACAACATCAAATACACTTACTGTTTTTTATGAGGATAGAGAAATAGCTATCTTGCCATGCTACCTCTCTGACAACTGTAAGTGTGCATAAGAGTAAAGTTTCAATAAGGCATTTCAAATCCATCCCCTTTTTCCCTATCTAATCCCTAATTCCATCATGAACTGAGATACAGAATTAGTTAAATATACACTGAGAACAAATTCTGAAGGCTATGTGCTTTTGTACAATATTTCATTGTTCAGTTTATACAAATACCACAAAGAAAATTTCTTAAAATTAGTCATGGCAATTTGTTTTTAAAAAAGTTTTAAAATTTCAAACACACAAAAATGTCATAACTTCATAAATGCATCAAAAAAAATGTTCTCTGATTTCTTTTTTTTATTTTTTTTATTTTTATTTTTTCCCAGACCTGACCACAAAATAAGAAAAGCTGCTTCCTTTGATCTAAAAGGATATTACTTCTGAGGGATCTAAATTTTATTTACTACTAATTTTGCTTTAATTTTGGAATAGATAATAATACTAATGGAAGTTTAAAAATACAATCAATTAAATTCATTGGCTCAAATTAAGGCTCAAGCAATACACTAGCAACTAAGAAAAGATACTAACCTGAGTATCATATAAAGGCATTTTGTCAAGTAGGTTTGTGCTTGTAGCTTTAAAGCCAATATGGAGAATCGAGAATGAATATTAATGATAGAAAGTACTTTGCTTGGTGGTGAACATTTGCTGTCTGTGTAATGCCAGGCAGCGGTTTAAAAAGGAAGTGTTTGTAAAAAGGGATGGTCAGGGTTCAAAAACTAAAAGGATATTTGGGTAGTTAATCCCATTACAGTAAGAATATGCCTGCTTTAGCCTAACAATTTCATTTATCTATTTCCATGATTAAAATATAAAAGCATTCAGATATTTTTGGATAAAGGATGAAAAATATTTTTGTCTAGTTTTTTATGCCCCTATATGGAGATGCAAACATTTCTGTATAGAGTAAGCTGTATTTATGATCACAAAATCTTTTTCCAGCATTCCTATTAACAGATTAAGGCTTATTAATCTTAAAAATTTCCTACTGCACCTTTGGCTTTTGAGGAAATTAGCAATCCAATTAATATTCCGCATGTACCTGTACACAAGATTATTCCGGCTCATCATAGTTAGCATTTTTCTATATAACCTAAATATCCTTCAAATTCTTTGAGTTCACAAATTCTATTGCTGCAGCTCAAACATTATAGGCTTCTATTTTTCTGGATTTCTTTTTTGTTCAGCTAACAATACCTGCTTTTATGTACTTTTTACTAATTATATAAGGAATGAATTTTAAAATAATACTTAGTCTGAGTTTTAATTCTGAGGTGTATTTAAACACTATATCAAATCCAAAAAGGTTATTGTTCCAAGTGTCAAAATACCGCTGTATCCTACAAATATATGTATCTGTGTGAATCTACCTCTATATGTCTCAAGAGTAAGTCTAAATCAACTGCAATGCAAGCACAAGCATTAGAAGCACAAGATAAGCTATCATCATGCCAAACTGATTTAGAGCAGTTTTTAGTATCAAAGTTGTTGATCCAGTAGGAGCAGTGTCTCTTAAAGGATAATTTATAAAACAATTGGCTTTATGTTTTTGTGTGGTTAGACAACCACATGTATGAGTCACTATGTGCTACTAATACCTACAGGACACGGACATTTCTGCATCACCTCTGCATTTTAGAAGTTATTTTTTGCTTGGTTCTGCAGCTGTTTATTGCCTTACCCTGCATTCTGAAGCTTTCACAAAGTGTCATACTGAGCGTGGCTCAAGCTGAGCTTGCTGTTGAAGCCGTGTCTGAGCTGGACTTCAGGGGCAGCAGTGAATTGAGAGCACTGGGACTGCAGATTCTGCTTTGTGTTATGTAACAGTCTTCCAGTCATTCCTCTCAGTTTGTGACAGATGCCCGCCCTGGTTTATCACATACTAAAA